AGATGTTTATCTTGTATTTGATTATGTTTATCTGCAATTAATTACACGAATTCAGATATGGAGCTTTAATAAGTTGTACTTACGCACAATCTACTTGTAATCTTGAGTTTTAAGTAACATTAATAAACAGTACTTTACGCATAAAAAGTGGTTTTTAAGAGTTTTTGTCAAATGATTTATAATATATAATATATTTTTTATATATAATTTTATTTAAGTTCAATAATAAAACARTTTATTTTTGGTTTAATATTATAAATTTTATAAAGATAATAATTAAGTATTCTGTTARAATTTAATGATTATACTAATTATATTTTGGATTTTTTATATTTAAAATGAGATGTTTATCCTGTATTTGATTGTGTTTATCTGCAGTTAGTTACACGAATTCAGATATGGGATGAAATCGGATGAGGATGAACGGATTTAAGAATTTTTAAGAGTTTTAAGAGTTTTTAAGAGTTTTAGTCAAATGCTTTATAATATAGTATAGATAGATACAGATTAAATATTTTTTTTATTGTAATTATAGTTTTTTAAATTAAAAATCAAATAAAGAATATATATGTATATTTTTTTTGTAGATTTGGGTTTTAGTATTTTAGGAAGAACATTATAATGTTGAAGGTATGTCGTTTCAGAAATAAGTAGCGTCAATCTCACTTCCCCCACGTTGCAAATTGCAATCTCATCTCTCTCTCTCTCTCTCTCTCTCTCTCTCTCTGATCCGATTGTACTGCAGTCGCATCGACCACTAAGCGATGACCAGCTTGTTCTTCCTCTTTCAGATCCACTGTTAGCTTCCGATTAAGGTACGTGTTCAATCTACAATAACCCATCTACAGATCTATACCTTCACTACTACATCTGATCCATAACATCTTTTTCCTTCTTGTTTCATTATCATGTCCGTCAATCGGATTCGTTTTCCTAACTGTCAAAGGGGTTGGTCCATTCCAGCCTCCAACAGTATTAACATTTGGGGCGGGATACGATTGAAGCTAAACACTTGTAATCGTTTTATAGTTTGGTAGGTTCATGATGCGATAATGAGTAAATGCCATCGTACTTGTTGGATATGTGAGTTTTTTTTTTCAAACCGGAAGAAGAGCTGTGTTCTTACTGTTTATATGCAATATTGATATGGGTTTTGTTCTAAATTTCAAATCAGCGTGATTCTATTGCGGTACGTGTATGAAAGTTAGCTTACTACGCAAATTCGTTTCAGAGATAATTACAGGAGTCTTTTTTTAATCATTGTGGTTATAGTTACAAGAATTGCTGGAAAACATGTAGCTTAAGCTACCATTCTGTTTGCTCTTTTAATGGTTCCTACATGAATTTGTTACTTATGGAGAGTTTACCTGAGAGTATCCAGTTTAAAAATGTTCACATCCATGGATTGTGATTCTCAACATTGCTGTTGTTAATCTTTTGGATCAGCACTGTAACTCTTGAAGGATCTGGCTATAACTGATGTTGGCTCGGATGTTTTTATGAGATATAACATGATAATTTTTTTGTCTTTGTGTTTCTCAGTTCTTATGGTTTTTAAATTTTTTAAATTTTTAGCTGTGTTTTCTAGTGAGAGGTGAAAGCAGGCATCGAATAAATAAATCAAAGGAAGAAGTTAAGAGAAATATTAAAACAGGGTTAAACCAACATGAACTTGTCGTTTTCTTTAGGTATGACGTCTTCAAAAATGAACGGGTGATTTTCTAAATTTGCGATTTATAATTTTATTCAAATATGATGCTTGAAAACTTCCACAATAGTACACTTGTGTACTCTAAACTGAGACAAACTTGTTAATATCTTGGATTCTAAATTGAATTAAGCGTGATCTCTAAATTTACTATACATATTCGATGTTATAACGGTTGGAGCTTTTGACGGTTTTGTAGAGATTTCATACTATACAAAACATGTACATACACATATACACATACATCATAGTATTTAGTGGCTTGTGTCATATTTTTTTTCTCTCTCCCACTTCTTCTCTTTCGAGTGTTTTTAGAGGATGCGCTTACAATAATTTATACAATGTCATTTGGAATTAGAACTATGAGATGATTTGTAGCGCTGAGCTGCTTTCTCATCCAAATTGCATATGTCCTAATTTTGTTTGGTCCTATGCTTGAGAGGCTTTGGCAGCTTCACACACAAATAGATGTAGGAGATGCATTATCAACTTATACTTATTTGATCTCACCGTTTGTTTATACAGTTATACCTTATTTTCCAATATTGACATGGGTATCTCTATACAGTATTTCATATCATAACCATAAAAAGTCTACTTACCAAAGTTATCATTGATTTCAGCAAATTAGGTCCTAGTAAATAGATCTCTTACCCAATTGCCACTGTGATTTGTTGAATATCATTCCAAAAATTTGACAACATTCATAGCATCTTTTATTGCAGGTTTCAGATTTTTAGGAGATAATTCATATCATGGCACCGGGAAAACACTCTAAGGTTGATGGCAGAAAATCTACCAACAATTACTGTTCTACGGTAACACTGGTGGCTTTTGTGGCTCTCTGCTTGGTCGGCGTATGGATGATGACTTCATCCTCTGTTGTCCCTCTTCAAAGTTTAGGCACTACACAAAATAACAAGAATGAAGTTAGAACAGTAATAACTAAGAGCTATGATACCGAAGATAGCAATGATGAGAACAGTTCAAACGATGATGGGACTTCAACTCCTGATAACAGCAATTCGAAACAGTTCGAGGATAATCCTGGGGATTTACCTGAGGACGCAACAAAAGGAGATAGCAGTTCACAACAGGACAAAAGCAATCCTGTTAACAATTCTAAAGAGGACACAGAGATACATCAAGAAGAGAAAGTTACCAACTCAGAAGATGCATCAACAACTAAAACTGCAAATGAAAATGAAAAGGGAGATGCAGAATCTAAACCAGAGGATGGGGAGCTTAAAGATGAGGAGACAAGAGGCGATGGTGATAGAAACAATTCTGGAGGACAAGAAAACCATGAAGAGGGTAAGGAAGAAAAGGAGGTAAAACAGGATAGAGAGGACAAAGTTGATGCTCCGTCAATTGAGACATTGCCTGCTGGGGCCCAGTCAGAGCTTTTGAGTGAAACATCCGTTCAAAATGGATCATTTTCAACTCAGGCAACAGAGTCAAAGAATGAAAAGGAGGGGCATAAGTCACCAGAACCTGAGAAAAATAATGGGTACCATTGGAAACTTTGCAATGTGACTGCTGGGTCCGATTTTATTCCATGCCTTGATAACTTGCAAGCAATTAAGAGCCTTCGATCCACTAAGCATTATGAACACAGGGAAAGGCACTGTCCAGAGAACCCTCCTACATGCCTCGTTCCTCTACCTGAAGGATACCAACGCCCAATAGAGTGGCCTACAAGTAGGGAAAAGGTATAGTAGTTTCTTCACAGTAGATTCACTTATTTTGTTGATTTATGCCTTTGGACGCAGTGTCTTCTTTCTTCAAGTGTTTATACACACACATGCATGTGTACATGAGTGTGTAGTTATGCATTGTGTATGTCAACTTATTATATGCATGCATGTGTATTTTTACACCACTAAAAGATAAGAGTTTTAAGCTAATCTTCGACATCTCTGTATTACAAATGATATGGTTGTGTTTAACTTTTAAAACGATAAAGATGATTATTAACAACAGCTTTGTGATACAATTGGTAGTCATATAGGTTATTTTTTATATTAAAATCCAATATAATATCAAAGTTTGTATTACTCCCAAAAGTCTGAATGTATCTCCAAGTTGGAATAGAGGGATAGATCTTTGATGTGCTTCACATATAAACAATTGATGAATTTATGTTGTTTTGCAGATATGGTACCATAATGTTCCTCACACTAAGCTGGCAGAACTTAAGGGACACCAAAACTGGGTGAAAGTTACCGGTGAATTCCTTACGTTCCCTGGTGGTGGAACTCAGTTTAAGCATGGCGCCCTCCATTACATTGATTTCATACAAGAAGTAATACTTCTACTAGATTCATACCATTAGATCTGTGTGCTCTTGCTTGTCAGTGTTTCTCTGCCTTGGCTGTTCACTTAGAAATTTGATATTACAGTATAGATGCATGTTATTTACTTAGAACTCACTGGCCCACCCTTGTATGATTTATCCATATTCTATAAGGGGTGCTATTGTGGTCAAGGGGAAAAACGACAAATAGGTACTAATTGCTTATTTTGCATTTATGGACCTTACCTTGAATAATTATAATGAGAGCTGTGGTCTAGGAAGGGAAGGATCAATGCTTACATCAACACATTTGTAAGTAATGGGGCAACTTTCAAAGAAAGATCAAGTTGTTCATACCAATAGGTTCATCCTCTACAAAAGAAGAAAGGGGAGGACAATTTTTCCCTACATCCTTTATTGTGTACAATCAATACTAGATAGGGAACCACTTGGCTTGTGGCGCACTGATTAAGGCTCAGGGCGATGTAGTGGAAATCTCATCTTCCCCAGGTCCAAATCCAGGCACTGCCAAAGCTCATGTAGCCATGGAGGTTCACCTGCGATGACGTTAGGTCATACATGGTCACTCGGGGGATTAATCGGTGTGCGTAAGCTGACCCGGGTGCCAAAAAAAAAGACAAAAAAGTATATTAGATTGGAGGATCTGTAACCCCTAATCCTAAAAGATGGTTCAGAAGGCATCTCAGAGCCTAAATTAATTTGTTTTTGCTGTTTATAACTAAAGTATCATCTATCTGCTAGTGCCATCGAAATGATTCTTATACAATGGAATCTCGATGTTGACGACAATTATAGAATTTGCTTGCATGGGATTTCATTGTTTGAATTTTCAAATATCTTGAACCATCTTATCCTTTTTGTATGCTCTTAAAAGCACATTCTCATGAATTATATGTTACTCTCACACATGCTCATAATCATGCTAATAAGCATACTAATGAGAGAAGGGGCTTTTGAGAATCTCTTAATTGTATTGCCTTGAATATGACGTAAAGTCGGTGTCTACTCGTAGATTTTGACACTCCTCAAGTTGGAACATAGATGTCTGTCATGCTCAACTTAGCAGCATATGAAGTCTATTTGAGCCTTCCATAGTGGTTTTGTTATAATATCTATGAATTGATGTTCTGTATGAATACAAATACGCTGAATAGATAGAAGAACAGTTTGTGTACCATTATACAATCCTCTTAAGGTTATCATCAATATCTAGGTGTTCTGTATGATTATAGACTAGGTATCACAATGTAACCTGATTGGTTTGTCTGTGGGAGTTCATGAACTCATGCAACAAACATTTGGTCCATGTTTGTCTCGCAAAATAACATCTACACTAGCTTGATACTCAAAACTCTACACTAGACCATGATACATGTGTTGCTTCTTGCTCTTCCACGAGACTAACTTACCACTCAAAAAGACACAATAACCTGTAGCTAAATGACAGTAATTATCCAATTTGAAATTTGCATTCCTTCTCAACAAAGCGCTTACTTTGCAATGTTCATGATCAGAATACAAATACGGCTTTGAGATACCTTAAGATCTCAGCAACTGCATCCTAATGATCGATGTACAGAGAAGACACAAATTGACTGACTATACTTATGGACTAAGCAATGTCTGGTTGTGTAATACATAGATAATTAAGAATTCTCGTTAGCTGCTTGTATTTTTCTAGTTCTTTCATAGGATTCCTTGGCTAACCATGAGAGAATCTGTTATTTTGCAATCTAATAACCTATATTTTGACAAAAATGTAGTACACACTTCTTCGCACACAACAATATCCCCTGTTGAGATCAAGAAACCTTAAGCATCTAATCTCATTTTTTTTTGCAAGGCATCGATCTCCCCTTGCATATCCTTGCATCATCCTGGATTCTGCAATCTGTAGAGCCCCATGCTTATTTTTTGGAATAAAATGATTGTCTATGGCTGAGATAAGGGCATAGGATTGTGGTGTTATATCTGTATAGGCCAAGTGGTTTTGGATGGGATGTATGGATACAGGCACATATACCTTTTCTGGTTGCCAATGGATTCACCGGGAAAGGAGCAATAGGTGGTATGTCAAGCTGTTTATTGGGTCATACATTTTAGGCTGTATATCCAGTTGTCAAGAAGCATCTTGTATAATTCATTTGGATTTGTAGGCTGTATCATCAGATGGAGGGTGTTCAGGTGATGTATAGATATAGGAAGATGTGTGATAGTTGGTGGAACCTGGGAGTCAAACAACATCATTACCTAGTATAGGGTGCTCGATATTAGCACTAAGTGGATGTCTTTGTTGCCTGGCTTAGATCTGTGATTTGAGGATTTGAGGTACCTGTGTCCCAGTATCTTTTTGTCCTTTTCATGAAAGTCCTCTCCATTATTCTTGATAAAGTCACTGGTCGTGATGGTGACTAAATACCTCAAGGGTGCATGGATTTCCTCATTAGCTGGCCTACGACTGTGTCAAGCTGACTCCATCAGTTGGGAAGAATGGTCTATAGATAAGGTAAAAGCTAGACATATCCTAGAATCATATAGGGCTAAGGCTAATAAAGCAGTTCCGGGAATAAGATGTAGTTTAAGGGGGGTGTTCCTAGGTAGTAGCCTAGTAGGTAGTCGTGTAACTGGTGGTTGTGTTGGCACTAATGACAACCGTTGGTAGCAATACCACTGCAGGAGGCTCTTATGTTAGGTATCTGCTTTTGGAACGTAATATACGTGTCCGTGGTTAAGAGAGCTTCCTGATTAGGTCTGACTCTGGGAACCCCTTATTTTGTCATGGTCAGGGCAATACCATTAACAACTTCATCAAACAAATTTCTCTGAACACAATTCTGTAATGTAATAGGCGACTCAATGACCGTGTGCGCATAAGATATGGGGGTCTTAGTTAAAGGTATCTTGTCAATGATAAATATCAAATTACTAACTTCATGGGAACACAATAGCTAGCTAGATTCCAAATGATTTTCTGAGGCATTGGATGTAATAGGTTTCCTGTATGTGTTGGCGATGAAACTTCGTTTTTGAATCTTGTCGAGCATGATATTTTTGTGCTCCCATTATTTAGGTGCTATTTCCAGTTATTTAGGGAAATAAGCAATTGCTAATCCATATCTACTTTTATTTATGGAGGAGGTTTTGATACTGCTTGTTCCTTTTCTTTGATTAGTCTTGTTGTATATCATATGGGGTGTGCCCCCAAGATTGTATGACTGTTGTTGGTAGTCTTATTGGATAATTGGATTTATCCAAAGCAATATTTATGAGGTGCTGGAAGAAATATGTAAACATTGTTAAACTTGGGGTGCAACATAGGCCAGATATTAATAGAAACAGAAAAGAAAAATAATGGAAATATAGGGACTTGATCCTTGTACGTCTCCCACAGTTAGAACGTGTTTTACTATCTAATCTTTTTTTCTGGCTGGCATTAGATTCTCTGGGTTCATGAATTTCTTAGGTAAAGTATTTCCACATCAGTTTTGCAATTTACAAAGTTAACCCCCTACATTTTATAAACTTTCTCTAAAATCACGAAGTTTCACTCAACTCCAAAGGGTTCTCAGGTCTGCCCTTGTGAATACACACACAGTTCATGTAAACAATGTTTTAATTTGGTGTTTGGTCCTTAATTCCAGACAATAGAAATACAATTACTTGTGTAGGTAACATAGGTTTCATAGGGTTCATTTGGGGCTGGGGGTTTCTATTGATTCCAACAATTTTACATATTATAGTTTGTGGATTGAGAGAAAATCTTCTTTAAGACGTGTACTGCTAAGGACTCATTTAGTTTCTAATTATGATCACAAAGTATATCCCAACTTCTTTGAGAATTAAATTTTGCTTTGCTTGAACTTACAAAATGTTACTAAGATTTAGCTATTGTTACTACAGATTGTGCCTGAGATTGGGTGGGGAAAACGGTCACGTGTAATATTGGATGTTGGATGTGGGGTTGCTAGCTTTGGAGGATTTCTCTTTGATAGAGATGTTCTGACCATGTCTTTAGCTCCAAAAGATGAACATGAAGCTCAGGTTCAGTTTGCACTTGAGAGGGGAATACCTGCCCTATCGGCTGTGATGGGTACACAGAGACTTCCTTTTCCTGGTAGAGTTTTCGATATTGTGCACTGTGCCCGCTGCAGAGTTCCATGGCATATTGAAGGTATTGTATTCTTCCTTATATATAACTTCCTTCTTTTTATTGCTGAGTTCGCTAGCAAAAACTAGCAGAAGAGAGATAACACATATTGGCTGCAAAAATGAAAAGGAAAACAAATAGATTTCTATGCATGTGAAATATATATTCTTTGAAACATCTTTTAGTTCTTTATATCACTATTATTCTCTGTAGGCGGTAAACTTCTCTTGGAGTTGAATCGTCTATTACGACCTGGTGGTTTCTTCGTCTGGTCTGCTACTCCTATCTATCAGAAACTTCCAGAAGATGTCGGGATTTGGGAAGGTATGTTCTCTTGTAGCTATTAGGTTTCCTTCTAAAAACAGTAACTTGCATTATTTAAGTAAGTATCTATCATTTGCAAAATTTGGCAGCAATGACAAAGTTAACGAAGTCAATGTGCTGGGAGGTGAAGGGAGTTGGCAAGGACAAAATAAACAAAGTGGGTGTGGCTGTATATCAGAAGCCCATGTCTAATGAATGCTATGAAGGAAGATCACAAAATGAGCCTCCACTCTGCAAAGAATCGGATGATCCAAATGCTGCCTGGTACTATTTTTTTTTTTCAAAACTACTTTTTGAAAATATTGATCAACAATTCAATTGCCTTTTGTGTCTCATCTTCCACTTTAGGCCGAGTCAATGAAGGAGCTATGAATCGTGTACGCCCTATTGAATCTTAATGCCACCTGTTATATTTCCTAGTTACGTGTTATATTATCTATCTTATTACCTGCTTGCACACACCTTTGTGTTATGCACATGAAACAGCCTTTTGATCCTGGTGGTTGAGGTAAGGTGTGCATACATCTTACCCCTCCCAGACCCTACTTTGGTGTATCTCGGATTCGTTTGTTTGGTTTACTATTTAAACATTTGGATTTTGGCAATTCTTTACTTAATTGTAATGTGACGTCTGTGATGTGTTTAGGAAAGTACCTTTGCAAGCATGCATGCACGAGGTACCTGTTGCCGCACCAGTGCGTGGGTCCCGGTGGCCCGAGCAATGGCCATCAAGGGTGGAAAAATCACCATACTGGTTGTTGTCATCCCAGGTTGGTGTTTATGGGAAAGCAGCACCCGAGGATTTCACTGCAGACTTTGAACACTGGAAACGTGTGGTCACCAAATCGTATATGAATGGCTTAGGGATAAATTGGTCAACAGTGAGGAATGTGATGGACATGAGAGCTATATATGGAGGGTAAGCAAAATGATTTATTGTTAATGAAGATTGGAATGGTGAAAATTTATAATCTGTTAAACGGCTGTATTGCAGATTTGCAGCTGCTTTAAAAGACAAGAACATTTGGGTGATGAACGTGGTCTCAGTTGATTCTCCGGATACACTACCCATAATATATGAGCGAGGACTATTTGGAATATATCATGACTGGTGCGAATCATTCAGCACATACCCAAGATCTTATGATCTTCTCCATGCAGACCATCTATTCTCCAAGATCAAAAATAAGTGAGCATGCCTTTTTCTTCTTTGATTTGGTTTTGGTATGATTATATGTTCCAAAAGGTGAATAGTATCTGAATCCATTTATAAACTGATGTTTACAGATGTAATATGACGGCTTTGGTTGCGGAGGTGGATAGGATCTTGCGACCCGAAGGGAACCTAATTGTTCGTGATACAGTAGAGACCATCAATGAAGTGGAGAACATGTTGCGGTCCATGAATTGGGAAGTCCGGTTAACCTACTCAAAGGACAAGGAAGGATTGCTATGCGTGCAAAAGAGCATGTGGAGGCCCGTAGAGGTAGAAACCATCCCGTATGCCGTCGGTTAAAAGAGGTAACATATGTTCTTTTCGAATTGGTGTTCTTGTATCATAGTATTTTAGCCGGTTAGCGCTTGTTCTTGATTACGAGGTGGAGTTTAAGTTGTGGGTATTGTGGTCTGATTGTAGGAGATGCTACGTAACGTTTATTTTTAAAACTGCATGCATTCGTTGGAGAGGGCTTCATGTTGGAATTAGACATGCAAATTTTGAGTGTATTTTCTTGGAATTTTGTTTTAAGCTGTCTTATTAGTTATTAGGGTTTTTATAATCTTATTGCTTTTAATTATAGCTTTTTTAATATAGTTATCTGTACTGATGATACTTTTCTATCAGACCCTACCTCCAAAAATGATGTTTGATTCTATTGATACTTTTTGAGTTAGGGTAACATATAACCCATGGGTTACTCATCCAACTAGTTTGGATAACAGATTTGATCAAATGCTTACCCGTCAAGCGTTTATTGACACTTATCTTGTCGGATAACATTATTGGTCATCAAAATGAATTCGTTTCTTTCCTGGTAAGCGCTAGCTAGGCAAGAGTCTTCTCTTTTACTTGTGAGATAAGAACCTTAGTTGTTGCCATGTTTTTTACCCGGAAAAATTTACAAAAAGAAATTTAAAATTATGGATCTAAGACAATTTTGATAAACCTTGTAAAAAAGTGACAAACCAACCTGTAAAAATGACTATTTAAATTAACTTAAAAAAATTATCAACATTAATAAACAAATTCAATATATACAATACAAGTAGGAACACATGTAAAACGTTTTCTCTTCAATGAATGTTGACTTTTTGATCTATAAAGACTATTAAAACCAAAATCAGCAAAAAAAGGTCAGATCAAGAAGTAATTAGGGAGAAGTTCATATATTTGAAGTACCTCATTAAGCTCCCCAACTCAGAGTATGATGTTATCCCAAGCTAGATGGGAGAATAAGCAACGGTATTTAACGCATATCAAACTGTTGTCATGCATCACCATGTCTCAAGTTGTCCTTCCATTACTTGTTAACGACATATATTTGTTCCAAAATCTGCAAAATTTCTTCACTCGAAGGTCTGTACTTGGGATTGTATGCGATACATCTTAATGCGAGTTCAGCATATTTGATAGCAGCTTCTAGGGGGTAATTCTGATCAAAACGTCGATCCATAATTTTCCTTAGCTTTTTTCTACTTGCAAGGATTGGCCTTGCCCATTTGACCAGATTGTGTTCCATACTAGTCCCTGTGGGGTCAAACGCCTGTCGAAGGGTTAGAGTTTCGAGCAACACCACTCCAAAACCGTAGATGTCACTCTTCACAGTCAAATGACCTGTAACCATTGACGTGTGTTGTTTAGAATCAGAAATCTCAAATGTCTATTGTCTTTTGCCCAATATGGTCCAAAGTTCCCATTAGCTCATTTAGTTTTTCTACTTGTAAAAATATACAACTCTTTAAGGAAATATGTAGCAACATACCCGTCTGATAATACTCCGGGGCTACATAACCCAAGGTTCCAACAACCCTTGTACTAACATGTGTTTTCCCGATTTCAGGACCAAGTTTCGCTAAACTAAAATCCCCTAGTTTTGCATTAAAATCCTGCAATGAGACATGTTCAAAATAAATGGCATGAAAGATGAAACGATGACCGCCATAAAATCAGAAACAGCGCAAGAGTAGTACTTGGTCCAGGAATATATTTGAGCTCTTAACATCACGGAATATGACTTGAGCTTCTGATGAATGCAAATACGCAAGTCCACGCGCAACTCCTATCATTATCATAAGGCATGTTCCCCATGAAAGTGGTTTCGCATCTGCAAAATTATCCGTGTTGACAAAAAGATCGAAGAACTAATACAACAATGATGATAGAGATTCTAATATAACTTACTTGCGAATAAAACATGATCAAAGCTTTGGTTCTGCATGTACTCGTAAACAAGCAAGTATTCATGTCTTTTATCGTTGCAGTATCCGATTGGAGTAATGATATTTGGATGAGCCAACCGTCCTAACAACCTCATCTCTATCTGAACTCACAAAACTTTTTAGTTACTTTCAGCCAAAAAGATTCATAAAACAAAATTTTTAAGTACAATGCCAGCTGAATCATTACAGAAGAGTGATCCGACTCAGGTTGTGTTAGCTGTCTGCATGTGGTACAATTTGAATCATAACTTGATGATAATCATCCAAATTTTTTGTTTCCGGAACTTACCTTCCATGCATCATGTCCTTGAATACCTTTTCCGAGCCTTTTAACAGCAACAACAATTCCAACACCTCGTTTTGATGGGGCGAATGTGTTCTTGTCCACCCAACATAAGAACACCCCTCCGAAACCTTCTTCACCCAACAGAAGATCTGGGCTGAAGTTACTTGTAGCCCTTTTCAAATCAGCAAACTTGAATTCTTTCAAATTTGGAATTTTATGATCTGCAGGAAGTTCTCTTGTATCCTCAAGCATAGTGTGGTCAGCTCCTACTGTGTTACCACCAGTTCTAGTGTTGCCTCCTTACTGTGTTACCACCAGTTCTAGTGTTGCCTCTGGTATTACTTGATAGCTTTGAATCACCCTGGGCTGAAATAGATGAACGTAAACAGATTATATAAATAAATTGCTGTTTTGACGATGGTTCATCCGATTTTAGAAATACTAATGGTACGCTTTTCCGCATAACTACCCTTTGGCATTTACGTTGTGAGATGTCATTTTGTTGTATTTTCATTGATGTCTTCTGCTAACAGCGAAGATGGGGTACATATGCACAAGTTTAGAGGAGAATGAAATACCAGAGTTATCTCCGTTAGGGGAAGGAAATCATATCAATCATTCTACCAAATATTGTTTTGCCTCCGAGTCCGGGTTGCAAAGAATTATTGAATTTCTCTTGTGCGGTTAGTACAGATTGAAGACCGGCCACAACATCTGTCATGGTAGACCGTTGCTTTGGATTGTTATGCAAACAACTCTTGGCGATTTGAACAAACTCTTTCAAGCATTTTGGGGATATTTCACCCCTTATATCTGAATCAATGATATGCTTTAAATTCCCTTCTTTGATGGATTCTTGAGCCCATCTTGCTAAATTCCATTGCTCCTCATCAAGACTACGATCCACTGCACGCTTTCGACATAGCACTTCCAACAACACCACCCCGAAAGCATACACATCAGACTTCCTTGTCAGCTTTCCAGTGGCGTAATAATCAGGATCAAAATACCCAAAAGTGCCTTTCACAACTGTCTTGACGTAAGTGGATGGCTGGTTCGTTGGGCTTATTTTGGACAACCCAAAGTCCGAAATCTTAGCTGCCCAACTTTCATCTAGCAAAATATTTGAGGTCTTGACATCACGATGTATAACTCCAACCCGAATTCCCGGTGTGAAGGTAGTGTAACCCACGGGCGGCACCTATGCAGATGTTGAGTCGTTGAAGCCAAGAAAGAGGGGTAGCGAGATTATGGAGATGATCTTCAAGTGTTCCATTGGGCATATATTGATACACAAGGATCATCTCTTTTTCATAATTACAATAACCAATCAGAGACAGAAGATTACAATGCCTAAACTTAGAAAGCATCTCAACTTCAGCCCAAAATTCAGCTGATCCTTGATTGGACATGGAATCCAAACGTTTAATGGCTGCAACCACAAGACTTGATCCATTGAGGATGTTAGCTCTGTAAACTATTCCAAATCCACCGTGCCCAATTATTAATGATTCGTCAAAGTCATTGGTTGCTAGCTGAATCTCAGGAAATTCGAAGTGACGGCATGGTTGTAACTCTTGTAAGCCGGAGGAGGAGGAGGAGGGTTCAGACTCCTTGTCAGCAAAGAACATAACTATTAGTGAATAGGGATGGAGACGAAGAAGTAGAGTCTGAGATGGTTGGTCCAATCATCCATAGTTGATGATATTAAAGCATACCTACAAAATGAGGAAAGGAAAGAGTCCAGCAGCCTACATTTTTCGTTTTATCTGGTGGACAACACTGACTTCTTTGGATTAAAAAATATGACTTCTTTGGATTAAAAAATATATGTAAGGATAATTTTTTTTAAATAACTATGAGTTTATGAGTTATGAGTTATGAGTTCCATGATATTAATTCTTTTATTTATAATTTTTTAATTATATTATTTTTAAAAATATTAAAATAATCTATAAAATTTAAAATACAATTTTTTGTAAAAATAATTACATTTTCAAGTCTTTTATATATATCTTATTTATTTTTTAAATTATTACATTTTTAACGTCGGCTTGAGTTTAATATTGAAATTAGTCAAAGTAGTTTAAAATTTCATCAAACATTGTATATTTGACATAAATTAGTGATTAAGGTCATTAAAACTAATATATTTTAAATTACGGTTAATTAAAAGATTATATAAAAATAAAATCAATATATAATAGTATAAATGAAAATTATATATAATATTAATTTATATATACAGCTGTATAGTGTATATATATATATATTATATAATATAACTTAAAATAATATTAATATACAATGAATAATAATAATAATAATAATAATAATAATAATAATAATAATAATAATAATATAATATAATATATTATTGATGAGATTTGACGTTTGATGAAAAATAAAGTTGTTACAAATTTCAATGCATTCAATACCATTCAACACCCTTATTAAAGGGGTGCCATTAGCACTCCCTTTTATTAATTCAAAATATGTGAATCTCGTTACAGAAAATGCTTTCATAATGTTTTGATGATTTATGTTTACTATATATATTTGCGAATGATTCTGTTGAGAAAAAAAGTTATGTTGAGAAAACGTAACAAGATATCTAAATCTTTGATCATTTTTAATCTCATCTCATTGATTGTGTTTTAGGAAAAAATTGATCCGGTTGCACCTCATTAGTGCTATTGTCATCCAATTTAGATTGATCCAAGGGTCTAGATCTATTCTTACGCTTATCACCATAACTTATATTCTCACTGGAAACCAACCCTATATATATGATTTACGGGTTATATATATTGTGATGTAGTCTTAGAGGGTGTTTGGTTAGAGGTATTAATCAATAGTCAATGAGAATGATAATAAAAGATATTGTTTGATTTTATATAATATAATGAGTTCATTCCCTTAAAAGCCCAAATTTTCATTCCAGGTCAAAACTATGGGAAATGAAAAGTCATTCCCATTTTCATTCCCTATCATTTTCATTCCACAACTTGAAATAAGCAACATCTTAATTTCACCAATAGAAAGAAGATAGAGAGAATTGATGAGGCAGAGGCCATGTTTCTTTTTTCTTCGCACAGTTGCCCCCAATCAAAAGTGAACTTTCTTTTTACCCTATCTCTCTATGACCCTTGTTTTTTTGGTTGTGTTGATGCTCGACTTATGCCTCTCTGCTGCTGCTTCTTTGTGGGCAGAGGTGGATCCAAAAAATTTACTGATGGAGGTCGGAATTTAAGTAATGGTCATGTGCCGATGTGGTTGACAATTTTCTTCGTCTGATTTATCTCTTTGGTTAAGGTGATACTCTAATACTCTACACTTAACAAAAAGTTCTTTAATCATAATTTAAGTCAAAACTCTTATAAAACTCTCAATATATGTATGATTTACAATTGAGCTCTTCTTTCTAATTCACTAGAAGATAAAGCTTTATATAGGGTCAAACAATAAACCCTTCTAGTCAAAGTCAACAACTCTAACAAAGTCAAACACTAACTTTACAATTATAGACAATTATAAACTTTCAAAACGAATACAATTTAACACTAAAATTCAGTCCCAACACAACGTTTTAATTGTCTTCTTATTGATCTTAGGACTGTAAGAAGGGAATATTCTAATTCTGAAACTTTAACTAAGTTTCTAGAATGTCTTCCTGAATCTTGGGACACTTATTCCTTGTGTTGTAAGATGTCCAATGACATGTCCTCTCTCCCCCCTCTCTCTCTCTCTTTACGTGATCCTGCTTAATCATGAGCAGATCAAAGATTCTAGAGAAATGAAAAGCTCTTCATTAGCTTTGATCTCTGAAGATGCTTCAGCTGAAACCCCTTCTTCTTTTTCTTCCTCTCTTCCTCCTGTTGTAATTACAGATTTAGACTCTACTAACTCTAAGGATGCATCAGAATCTGATCTTGCAGATTTTGATGAATCCCTGGCGCTTTTGACTAAATTTTTTAGGAGATTCGCCAACAAAAGCAACTTCCGCAGATCTCCCTCGCTGACCTTAAAGGAAAAGTCAAAGTATAATAAAATAGACAAGGCTTCAGCGATCTGCTACAACTGTCACCGCACTGGTCACTTTGCAGGTGAATGTAGATCAAAGAAGACTGCAACGCCATCCTCCAAAACCCCATCCTATTTCAGGTCTAGGGATGACAAATACCTGAAGCTGAAAGAGAAGTACAAGAAGATGAAGAATCACCAGCGAAAGGCCAAAGGTCTTATTGCTGAAGAGCATGATTGGGCTGATTCATCTGATGAATCATCATTTGATGAGGAAGATGCGGCCTATCTTAGCTTAATGGCCAAGGATGTCAAAAAAGAAGCTTCAGAGACATCTACTTCAAATGATCCCTCATCTCCTTCTCCTGCTCAGGTATGTATCCTGAATGTTCTTCTTCTTCTTCTTCTTCTTCTTCTTACCGGGTCATTTCTCAAGAACAATAGCTAAAGGCCCTGAAACTACCACTTACCATATTCCGAATTCAACGGTTTTAATAAATCCCCTACAGTAGTTCGTCTTGGACCAGATCTAGAACCGTTCTCAACAGTGGGCGTATTTGGCCAATTGACACATCTGAAGGAATAAATGTTGGACATGAATTCAAGTTCTGGATTTTAGAATTGTCTTCTTCTTCTTCTTCTTCTTCTTCTTCTTCTTCTTCTTCTTCTTCTTCTTCTTCTTCT